CAAAGCTACAACTTTTTCTGCGCATGCGTCGCGTTCAGCATGCGCACAGGCTTTTACGAGAGCGCATAAGACCCTACAGCTGCGAATATGTTTGTGCGCATGCGCGTTTAATGTGTAACGGAGTTATACGCTAAGCTAAAGTTATCTAATTCAGTTAAGTTGCAGATTGCGTTGTTCCTTAATCTTCGAATTGGATCCGGCTTATATTTTTTGCAGACTGTTAGAGCAATTTTATAAAAGTAAGCTTGAACTTTCGATTATTCAAATAGAATTTCCGATATATATTTACTACAAAGCGAAAGTTGTTTTGAAATCCGAAATCTGTTATCAATTTCACGCTGCTTGCGGCAGAGGGGGGGGCAGAAACGTCATTATTAGATTATGATAGATTAGAAAGATTATGTCAAATAGAATTTCCGATATATATTTACTAATATGTAATTGTATCTACAAAGCGAAAGTATGTTTTGAAATCCGAAATCTGTTTATCAATTTCATGCTGCGGATTGGAAGTTGATCTGTCAGCACTATCCTTATCTTCAGAGCAGATGTTTTTATTTTATTGGTTTATAATTCCGTACTAAGTGTAGTATTTCATCTCGATATACTCCGTCTTTGATATGATTTTAAATCAAGTTCCTCGTCATTATAATTCGCTTCCGATAGTGAAGAAAGTGACCCAGAGGTTATTGAAAACGAAAACATTTCGATTGACAAATTAGTTGGTATTCTCAACACAGCAATTATAGGACTTGAACAGCGGAACTTTGTAACTAAACAAGAAATTATGTCTGTTTTATAGAATTAAAGAGAAAGTATTATCACATGAAAGGAAGCAACTTACATTGAACGAAATGTTTAATAAAGTAAACAAATAAATATTAAGCTTTTTCTTTTTGTAAATTTTGATACCCTTTAGATCATAATTGTTCTTTATTTCATAAATTACGGTTTCATATTTTTAATTTTGTAATTTCTGCATGCCATCTTACCAGATTTAAACTGATTATCTATAATCCGGAAAAATCGTTAATCCGGAATCGCCGAAGTCCCGACGAGTCCGGATTAACGACTTTTGACTGTATGCGTTCTTTACATCTAACTGACAATTAGTCCATCCATATAAACATACCAGGATAGTGAAAAATATTCTTATGATTGAAAAGTTTACTACAGGACTGTAAACGTCATCAAAATCTTCACCTCTTTTCTGCCTGAATCCCTGTGCTACTAAACGTGCTTTGTATCTAACCACTTGATTCTTTTCATTTCTTTTTAGCGTATAGACCCATCTGTTTCCTATCATAGTTTATTTTCTGGCTTTTCGACTAATTCCCAAACCTTTCTTTTCTTCATTGTGTCAATTTCTTCTTTCATTGCCTTATCCCCATTCTTCGGCATTTACTGATTTTCGTGCTTCTTTAAAATTTTGTGGGATAACAATTTCTACGGAATTTTTTCCTCTTCAGACACGGAGCTAGTCTCCTGTTCTACAAAATTAACTTTCCCCGAGTATTCGTTTTTTCCACTAAAATCGAACTTATCTTTTCAAATTTAATATTTCTTGCCTCACAATACTTTTCAATATCATTATAGGATCTAAAACGGGTGTCTGTTCCCTCTACATAATAATATATGTCTGTACGTGTTCCATCTGGCCTTTTAACTGCTTTTCTTTGCCAGTTTAAGTCTGATACTTCTTTCGGAGTAGATTTGTCATCTGACAACTTTATTTCTTCTCTAGAAAGTTTCCTGTTCTTCATCTGATTCTGCTAATAGCTCAGATTCCTCTAGTCTTTTAAATTTAGGTTTTTGATTTCTGTTCCAGGATGCCATTTGCTGCATACATTGTTTTTCATTCATCGAACTTCACATTACAGGTTTCTATTAATCTGCGTTCTTCTGGCAGCCATATCCTATAACCCCTAGTTTCCTTCGCATATCCTACCATGATTCCTTCTTTGCACCTCATTTGTAATTTATTTCTAATCTGTTTTGGCATGCCAACATAGGCTTTACAACCAAATATTTTAAAATAAACAACACTGGGTTTTCTATTTAGGAACATTTCATAAGGGGTTCGGTTGCTTTTATGACATACTCTGTTCCACGTATGTACGAAACAGCCAAGAGCTTCTGCCCACCATTCTTTTCCCATTTTACCATCATTAAGCATAGCTTTAACTGCGTCTAATGCCGTTCGGTTAAAACGTTCACACACACACTGTTCGTTCTCTTCTGGGGTGTACGCGTTTTGTGCGTTCAACACTAATTCCATTTTCGGCTAAGTACCCTTCGAATTGCCTGTTACAGAATTCCCCACCATTATCGGTGCATATATTTATTAATTTTCTATTTGTTAGTCTTTCCATTTGCCTATGATAATTCTTAAAGTTGTAGAACGATTCATATTTATTTTTCATACAATACACTGTTACTAATCTACTATAGTCATCCACAATAGCAAGGAAATATTTACTCCTACCCTTAGATGGAACTGGTAGTGGGCCACAAACGTCTAAATAAACCAACTGCAATGGTTTATCCGATCTCTTAGGAACAGTTTTAAAAGTTATTCTACTAGATTTAGCAATAATACACGGTTCACACCTCTCCATTGGTTTTTCCAATTTTCTGGTAACCCTTTCACGCTTTGATTCTTACTAGTTTTCTTAATATAATTCAAAATTTACGTGGCTAAATCTCCGATGCCATAGCATTCGCATCGTCTACTTTATTTAACTTTTCCAATTTCTGTACACCGTAACCAGCTTCCTTTTATTTGTTGCATATCTAAATGGTTTTACGTGATAAAGTCCGTCATATCGTTTAGCGTAGCATAATCTATCTATCCCAATTATTAAAGTATATCCACATCTTCCCTTTTGAAATCACAAAATGAGCACCTGCCTTTTTTCTAACCTTGCTCCCGATAATAAATTTCTTCTTAGATTTGGATTATATAACACATTATCTAACTCAATCCAATTTATTCGATTGCCTACTTTTACTGCAAATTTGACGGTACCCTTTCCTAGTTACTTTACTTTCACAATTTCCTACAGCTAAAGACATACGTATATCGTTTATTTCTTCAAAATTTGTCATTAAATTTCTATTATTACAGAAATGAGTTGTAGCTGCAGTATCTACGACCCAATTAAATTTATCTGCGTTACCTCCTTTATCTGTAGTTGTTACATAATTTTCTACTAACATTAATTCTTTATCTTTAAACTGTCCATTTTTATCGTCTATTTTAAACTTCTGATTTTTACTTACATTTTCTTTACATTGAGCGATTAAGTGCCCAAATTTATGACATCTGAAAACAAGGTCCTATTCTCATATTCCCCATTTTTTTCTTAGATTTAGTTTTATTTTCAACTCTATCTTTCCCTGCATTTGAACTAATAGTATTAAACACGCTTACCTTGCTGTCTTCTAAATCGGCATTTACCTGGCGAAGTCGGCTTTCTTCCCTTACCAGTTCTTCAGCAATTCTTTCCAGCATAAAATCTTCGTCCTTCCACCTATAGATCAACTGTACAATGCCGGAGTATTCCTGGGGTAATCTCCTTATTGCCTGGAATCCTTTAAAAAGATCTGCCAAGTTGTGACCAGCTTCAGCCAACTTCTTTGCAGTCATTCGTATCTTCATGATAAATAATCCTATTTCTTCATTTGGTGTATATCTAATACTAAAAAAGTTCATCCAGTAACTGAATTATCCTTGCTCTTGTTTTGGAGTTTCGAATTGCTTCTGTAGAACTTCCCATGCTTCTTTACCACTTGAACATTCTTGTATGAGCAGCGGCCTGAACTCAGTTTTAATTCCATAATATAATGTAGTGAAGGCTTTATTCTCTCTCTCAATGTGAAGTTCCTGCTTTTCACGCCTTGTTGCACTTTTATCTAATTCTTCTTCTTTGTCCTCTATGAAGCTCCAACAATTTCTATCCAGTAACAGCATTTTCATATCGACTTTCCATTGATCTCAGTTGTCATGGTTTAACAGCTCAAAACCTTCAGGTAGTAATGACATCTTCAATTAAGTGTGAGCACAACAACTTGAACAAACTTCTAAGACAGGTCAGCTTCTTTTCGTGGATAACGGCCCTCTTCACCTACATTCCTTCAATGCTGAGTTGAACTGGATGACCGATTAGCTGTTGGCGCTGGGCCCATAACCCTGTTGGCAGTGGTGATAAAGGCAAAGCATATTTTGCTTCCCTTAAATAAAGCTAAGACTAATCTAAATAAAATTCATGCTTTATTCCGTAAATTAAAATAAAAGAGCTAACACTGTAGCCTTTACTTTTAAAATCATTTGAATGAAAGCAAACTAGCATTATGCTAACTCATAATAACGCAAGAGAAACAAGACATTCGCCGATACCGGCGTACATATATATAATACTCGGCCAACCCGCTGATCTTGACGTCATCGGCCAATCAGCGGCAACCACGTTAGCTTACCGCCGATTGACCTCCGATCAAAATTTGCATGTGGAAAACTAAAGCCAACAGATCTAATTCAGTTTCTTTGCTTATAAAGCATTTATAGTATAGCCATAGGTATAAATATAAAAGGGTGTGGAATTTTTTATAAAAAATATATCTGTTTCAAAGAAATAAAAAACAGCAAATCCCATTATCGTCATGAGCACATGGAGCTGGTGAGGAATAAAATCTACATTGCCTCAATTAGTATAGGCCCTGACAGGTTCAGATAACCTGTATTCTATGATATATTTATTTAACAGTGATTATTTGTCAATCATTTATACAGAAATTTATGATGAGTATTTCAAATAATGGCTTTGCAAAGCTGGTAATGTGTAGCAGAGGCAATGACCATATTATTAATTTTTATTTTTATTATTTTTTTAATGTTGAAAAGTACTTTTTTAATAAACACATCATTACTTAAGTTATCTGAAGATAAAAAATATTATTGAAAAAATTTTCTGTTCTTACTAGTATTTGTTTAATTTCAGGGCCATGATGAGAAATCTTAGGTAGCTATTGTATCTAATCTGTTTCTAGCCATCCAATGGGTAAGTGCCTTTCGTGCTGTCCAGCTACTCAGTCAGTTGTCACTCAGAACTGCGATGAAAAATTTACTGATGTTGTCCAAAATTCTGAAGCAGCAGATCATCAACCAGGAATGAGTACTGGTGATATTCGTCGCTCTGAGAAAGGACGTTTTGAGACTCGTGCCATTCCAAATGGTACCACTGAATCAAATTCTAACAGTAAAAATCTGAGCTTGACTGAAAAGCTGATTTTTCCTATTCTCAGTACAACATGTATTGAAAATAAACGAACTAGTCATTCTAACCGTGAATTCTCAGAAAGCAAAATATTAGCCTTTTTTGAACAGTACAAAGACCCAAATGAAAATGCAGTTCTTGCAGAGGGTATTGAACGTTTATGCAATGACCTCAATGTTCCATTAGAAGACTTTCGTGTGCTTCTTCTAGCCTGGAAATTTAATGCAAAGCACATGTTTTGTTTTACAAAAGAAGAATTCGTCAGTGGTTGCCGAAATCTGAAAGCTGATTGTGTCCAAGACATTCAAGCAAGGTTTCCTGAAATGATGGCTGAAGCTCGATCTCCAGAAAAATTCAAAGACTTATACCGTTTCACATTTAAATTTGGTCTTGAACCTGATCAAAGAGTTTTGATGTCAGAGATGGCAATACAGTTGTGGAAGCTAGTTTTCCATGAAAATGAACCTCCTATTCTCCATCGATGGCTTAATTTCTTAGAGAAACATCCAAACGTGAGAGGTATATCTAAAGACACTTGGAATATGTTTTTAAACTTTTCTGAATCAATTGGTGAAGATCTAAGTTCTTATGATGACACAGCTGCTTGGCCCAGTCTGTTTGATGATTTTGTTGAATATGAAAATGACCAAACAAACCAGAATGTTGTCCCAAGTAAAGAAAAAGGAATAGTTGATGTTAATTAAAAAGGGAGGATGATATGAGTATGTGCTTGTACATTTGTACTTAATGATAATGATTCTGCCTTATAGTATATATTGTGATATAACTGTGACGTGTTGTGATCTTCGTGATATAGTTTTCCTTTAAGCTTGTCACTTTTACAATGACCATGGCTGTCTTATTTTTAGTTTAAAATTTCTTACTTTCTATGCAGCTGCTAATATTTTTTTAAAGGCGTGGAGTCATTTTAAAAATGATTTCTTGCTATGATTTGTGTGTCCAAGCACCTACTGCCAAGTCTCAGTGCCTTTGTTTTTTAATTCTTAATTTTATTTGACCATCAGACTGGGATAATATTAAATCTATGGTGTATACTCATAAAAAATAATTCTGTCACTTATGGATATCTGTAAAACTTATGTTTATGTAATATGTTGTTCTCATTAAAAATCACTGAATTTAATCATTAAAATTTCCATATCAAGAGATATGGTTCATTTCATTACATAAACTATTTTGTTTCTGTGTAATATATTTTATTGTGTATCTGTGTAAAAATTTTTGATAGGCAATAATATAAAAGTTTTTTCCATTTAGATGCATTGTGATAATCATTTCTCATAAAAGTATTGTATAATGTATTTAAAATAATAATAATAATAAAAAAATTTTAAAGTATTTCCAAGCTAGCTCAACAATTCATCATATTTTCTTTTTTTCAACTGTTTTCCATAATTATAGCTTGCAGCATATGTGAAATTTAAAAAATATCATTTAAGGCTAACTCATTGGTAGTTTATATACAGGGTAGTTCAAAACTATATGCCAAAATTAAAGGTAGAGGTGACATGATTAAGCGGATTTCATATAGGAATGTGTGTGTGTGGTAATGTTGCATTAAAGTGTTAGCAAGTAAAGCAGTATGAATCACAGGAAACTGAAAAGACAAAAGGAAAAAATTTAGCAGTTTACAATAGTTGCTCAAAAGAGAGGCCACCAGCAGTGATACAAGATTCACAGTGATGGTGGGTGGATCGGGTTGCATTAAAAAAGATATCAGCCATGTCGAACACATGTCCAGCATCAACAGACAAGTGGGCAACAAGATCTTCTGCAGATGCGACGGGACTCTCGTACACCAGGCTTTTAAAGAAAGAAAAAAGAAGAAATCGAAGCAAGTTAAATCAGGAGGATGCGGTGGCCAAAGAAGCGATGGGACATCGTCCGCCCCCGTCCTATTCACTAATGGCCGTAGACAGCATCCAGGCAATTCCCGGTGTTCCAGCTGAAATGAGTTGGGGCTCTTGTGCTGGAACCACAATGGGCAAAGTTGAGATGTGGAAGGTAATCGTCAGGGGTCATTGCTTGCTCTCTTTGTAAACGATATGGATGCATTCCTTCTTCATGTTAAGTCCTCAAAGCAGTTGCATGGTACACACCCAACACATGTCTTACAGCTCTCGAGTTTGATGAAGGTTTGTCCCCTACTGTGTTTAGTATTCTTTCTTCCACTGCAGGAGTTCTGAGATATCTTCCAATGTCAGTATCACGTCTGGACGTATAAAACGATCCACTCGTACTAAACTCCCAGTGAAGACATTCGAATGTTCTTCTACGTTCCGGCTGATTCCTATCCACGAATTGTTCGCTTCTTATCCTTTGAGCAGCTAATCCATTTCCTTGTGCAGCTCCATATATGAAATTAACGTCCGCTAGCTCTGCATTGGTGTTACGATGCATGTTGTTCAAGAACCATGCAAAAAATGAAGAATCCTGCTAGCACAGTGCTTTTATATTATGCACTTATCAGCGCTGTCTACCTGTTTAACATGGCACTACCGCACACGCATTCCTATAGGAAATCTGCTTACTTAGGTCCCCTCTACCTGGCTTTACATTTTTGGCATATAGTTTCGAACCACCCTGTGTGTGTGCATGTATGCATGTTATAATTTGAGAATAATGCAGACATCAGATATTTAAGCACATGTACATGATCCATAGTGAAGAATAAACTTGGAAGTCACGTGAATGCAGTAAGATGCAGTTGTAGCAGATTTAAATTATATTTCTTTTATTGTAATTAAACAATTTAACAGCCACAAAGAAATTGGTACACTAATCGTACTTTTTTCTGGAACATGTACATTTTTAATATTGTTAGGATGGGAAGAAGCAGCTGTCTAGACCAGGAACGGGCAACTTTTTCGGTCGCGGGCAAAAATCAAAAGAAAAAAAGTTTGGTGGGCCAAGATAAGTTTTTCTAAAATTTTAAAAACGATATACAAGTATTACAAGTTAAATGTGTTAGTGAGATGAATGAAAGTGCGATCTCATTTTTAAAAGTTCCTTATATTGAGGTATGAAGTGAGATGTACTGATTTCAAGGAACGAGGCTAAATGCTCATTTGTCACTCTACATCTGAAATAATTCTTTCTAAGGTTTATAGTTGAAAACACTTGTTCACATATATAAGATGAAGCAAACATAGCATTGATTTTCTGGGCATGAGATATTAAATTTGGGAAACTTACTTTCGATAATGATTTGTAAAGCTCAAAACTTTAGCATATTTAGAAACAATTGCTTGAGATGGTTGTTAGATTGCAAATCAACTAATTCAAGCTGCAAATATGACTTCACTGCTTCACAATTTACGTTGAAAGCCATGATAAAAATATCCAGTTCTATTTGAATGGCACTGAAATCTGCGTTCGAACTCAAAATGCAGTTTTTTCAAGCCATCTTCATAATTCTTAATCTTCTCGTCATTTACTGAGGGTATTGAATTTAACCTCGGAAAATGAGACAAGTTGTTCTTAGCTAGATACCCAGCAAACAGATTAAGTTTTAAGTTTTTTCTAAGAGGTCTAATTCACCTATATTGGATTCCTATATGTTTGCTTGAGAAAGAGATAATGCTTGTTAGTGCCAATCTACAGCTATAACTAACAAAGAACTTCTGCTTTTAACATTTCACCGATTGAAAGCTGTGTGTGCTTGCAATTTCCGTCGATTTACGTTTTGTAGAACAAAAATAGAAAAAGTAAAAAGATCATCAGTCCTTTGAAAAAAAGGAAGGAAAAAAATATTTAAGCAAAGTAGAAAAGGAGATCGATATATAATATATAAATATATACAGTCAAAAGTCGTTAATTCAGACACCCATAATCCGGACCTCAAAGCTACAAACTTTCTGCGCATGCGTCGTATTGACGCATGCACGTAAGACCTTTAGGGCTGCGAATATGCGTGTGCGCATGCCCAAAGTACGTTTACGCATGCGCGTTTAATCTATAACGGACGGTATAAGCTAAGCTAAAATTATCTAATTTAGTTAATGTTGCAGATTGCGTTGTTCCTTAATCTTCGAATTGGATCCGGCTTATTATTTTTTGCAGACTGTTAGACCAATTTTATAAAAGTAAGCTTGAACTTTCGATTATGTCAAATAGAATTTCCGATTTATATTTACTAACATGTAAAGGATCTATAAAGCGAAAGTATGTTTCAAAGTCCATTAAACAAAAAGTGGAATTGCTGGCAAAAATGGATAAGAAAGGCTTATCCTTTGTTTATCTAAACCATTCTGAAATCTTTTTATCAATTTCACGCTGCTCTGCGGCGGGGGGACGCCGCGGCACGCAATGAATTGGAAGTTGATCTGTCAGCACTATCCTTATCTTCAGGGCAGATGTTTTTATTTTATTTGGCTTATAATTCCTTACTAAATGTAGTATTTCATCTCGATGTACTCCGTCTTTGATATGATTTAAATGAAATTCCTCGCCATTATAATTCGCTTCCGATAGCGAAGAAAGTAAAGTAAACAAATAAATATTAAGACAACAAATAAATTTTTTTTGTAAATTTTGATACCCTTTAGATCATAATTGTTCTTTATTTCATAAATTACGGTTTCATATTTTTAATTTTATAATTTCTGCATGGCATCTTACCAGATTTAAACTGATGATCTATAATCCAGAATCGCCGAAGTCCTGACGAGTCCGGATTAACGACTTTTGACTGTACTTCTTTTAATTTGCCCTGAACCAGCAAATTAAAATTCTCTCCACGGGCTGGATAAAAACTTCCGGCGGGCCGGAGTTGGCCCATCCCTGGTCTACACAGTTCGAGATGCAGTAAATAAGAGCGTAATTATTCAACATGGAAGCTTAGTTTTAAGAGAAAGGTTTCGGTTTGAATTTGCTCCATCGTCAGTATGTAAAATTTATATAATATAGAATAATCTGGAAATGATGCAGGCCAGAAAAATTTTAACAATTAACTGTTTTTAGAATAGAGAGGGGAAATACCGAATTTAAAATGAAGAATTCAGGGGCTATTGTTAATTTAAGCTATAAGTTTGATGTACATATTTTTTATCTATACCATATATTTCCAATATATGGTATAGATAATCCATGTATAAGACATGCATTTTTCCCCCAAAAAATTTACTTAAAATTCAAAACTCATCTATAAGCATAAATGGGAGGGTGAGACATGTTGCGATGATGGCAAAATGTCACCAAGCAGGTAAAATTGGTAGAATATTTTCCAATCATATCACTGTAAAGTAAAATGTTAGATGCCAAGGATGATAGTTTTAATTCTGGTACCCCTGTCTCTAGCTTGTGCATTTTCTTTCCTTCATTTGTTGTCTTGTATAGAATCCTGGGTAAATGTATAAGTATAGTTACATGCTCGGTTTTATTTTTTTTTTTAAAGATGAGTGGTTAGAGAAATTCTTATAGGGCATTTTTCAAGCTATTGAAGATCACATTTGTAGAAATTTCTAACAACAATGTGGCTGCTCCACATTTCTCTGTAAATGAAAAACAACTTTGAGAGTGGAAAAAAAAAATGGGCACAAATTTAGCCAACATCAGATTTTTCGCTTTGGCAACGGATGCAACAAAGCAGCATTATAAACAGTTTCAAAAATAAAATGGCTAATTTTATCATAAACTTAAAAAAATATAAACTAAAGAAATTTTAAAAATGCAATATTTGGATTGCGCCTGGCTAATGGAAATGATTAATGATATTAGCGGATCTGTAAATAAACAGATTCCATAACTTTGCTGTAGTAAAAGCTAAAAAATTCTCATCTTATACTCAGAAATATACAGTAATTTTTACTTAGAGGGAAGAATGAATATTTTGAAGCTTATTATTTTTGCTCAAATTCCACATACTTCAGAATCTTAAAAAAGTAGTGTATTTGCAAATATTTAGCCTGCATTAAAAAGTTATTAAAAAACAATCTGAAGTTCTGAGTAACCTGTATATTGTTTGAGCTCATTTATTTGTGATAACATGTAAAAAATCAAATCGTACAAAAGTGCATAGTTCAAAGCCTGAGGTGTTTAACTTGTTTCTTTGTTATATTTATCATTTTACTTTATACAAAAATTTATTCTTAAAATATATTTTTTTAAAGAAATAATATGAAAATTTCAAGAAAAGTGATTTTTCATGTATATATTTTCACTTTAAATTTA